CCGTCGGGACTGGGCTGTAGGGGGGCGGAAGGTCACCCTTGCCCCATCGGGTCCTGGGTAGATTCCCCCTAGAGTCAAGGGCTTTCAAAGGGGCAGCCAGTCAAATGGGCAGTTAGTCAAAGGGAGCAGTTAGTCAATCCAGCAGTTAGTTTAGTTTAGTTTTAGTGGGGTTTTTCCGCCCGCTCCCCAACTGCATAAGGTGATTTGAGCACCGAGGGATGGGGTGTCAACAGAGAAGTCTATACGGGGAACGAAGTTTATTCTGCTCCCTTTTTTAAGCCCCAGCAGCAAAAAGTCTACTTTAACTACCAAGGCCCCCAAGAAATAGCAGTTTCCAGGGAAGGGAGAAACATCCAAAAGAAGTAGAGGGAAAAATGACGATAGTAAGGTTGAGGAAAGAAAAACCTGCCCTCAGTATGAGTATGACTTTGAAAAATCAGCCCATTTACAATTCTCCTGGGAATAAGAACATGTTAATACCCCCCGCACCTTTGGGATTGGCCTCAAAACACTTCAGTCAGTAGCACTGCCCTGGTTTTGGGGGGGGGGGGGGGATGAGCAGTTAGTCAAAGACCAGTTAATCAAAGAGCAGTTACTCAGTGAGTAGTTAGTCAAAGAATAGTTAGTCAAAAAGCAGTCAGTTAAGAAGTTAGTCAAAGAGCAGTTAGTCAAAGAGCAGTTAGTCAAGAAGTAAGTCAAAGAGCAGTTAGTCAAAGAGCAGTTAGTCAAAGAGTAGTTAGTCAAAGAGCAGTTAGTCAAAGAGTAGTTAGTCAAAGAGCAGTTAGTCAAGAAGTAAGTCAAAGAGCAGTTAGTCAAGAAGTAAATCAAAGAGCAGTTAGTCAAAGAGTAGTTAGTCAAGAAGTAAGTCAAAGAGCAGTTAGTCAAGAAGTTAGTCAAAGAGTAGTTAGTCAAAGAGCAGTTAGTCAAGAAGTTAGTCAAAGAGTAGTTAGTCAAAGAGCAGTTAGTCAAGAAGTAAGTCAAAGAGCAGTTAGTCAAGAAGTAAGTCAAAGAGTAGTTAGTCAAGAAGTAAGTCAAAGAGCAGTTAGTCAAAGAGCAGTTAGTCAAAGAGCAGTTAATCAAGAAGTAAGTCAAAGAGCAGTTAGTCAAGAAGTAAGTCAAAGAGCAGTTAGTCAAAGAGCAGTTAGTCAAAGAGTAGTTAGTCAAAGAGCAGTTAGTCAAAGAGTAGTTAGTCAAAGAGCAGTTAGTCAAGAAGTAAGTCAAAGAGCAGTTAATCAAGAAGTAAGTCAAAGAGAAGTTAGTCAAGAAGTAAGTCAAAGAGCAGTTAATCAAGAAGTAAGTCAAAGAACAGTTAGTCAAGAAGTAAGTCAAAGAGCAGTTAGTCAAGAAGTTAGTCAAAGAGTAGTTAGTCAAAGAGCAGTTAGTCAAGAAGTTAGTCAAAGAGTAGTTAGTCAAAGAGCAGTTAGTCAAGAAGTTAGTCAAAGAGTAGTTAGTCAAGAAGTAAGTCAAAGAGCAGTTAGTCAAAGAGCAGTTAGTCAAAGAGCAGTTAATCAAGAAGTAAGTCAAAGAGCAGTTAGTGAAGAAGTAAGTCAAAGAGCAGTTAGTCAAGAAGTTAGTCAAAGAGTAGTTAGTCAAAGAGCAGTTAGTCAAGAAGTTAGTCAAAGAGTAGTTAGTCAAAGAGCAGTTAGTCAAGAAGTTAGTCAAAGAGTAGTTAGTCAAAGAGCAGTTAGTCAAGAAGTAAGTCAAAGAGCAGTTAGTCAAGAAGTAAGTCAAAGAGTAGTTAGTCAAAAAGTAAGTCAAAGAGCAGTTAGTCAAAGAGCAGTTAGTCAAAGAGCAGTTAATCAAAAAGTAAGTCAAAGAGCAGTTAGTCAAGAAGTAAGTCAAAGAGCAGTTAGTCAAAGAGCAGTTAGTCAAAGAGTAGTTAGTCAAAGAGCAGTTAGTCAAGAAGTTAGTCAAAGAGTAGTTAGTCAAAGAGCAGTTAGTCAAGAAGTAAGTCAAAGAGCAGTTAGTCAAAGAGCAGTTAGTCAAAGAGTAGTTAGTCAAAGAGCAGTTAGTCAAGAAGTTAGTCAAAGAGTAGTTAGTCAAAGAGCAGTTAGTCAAGAAGTAAGTCAAAGAGCAGTTAGTCAAGAAGTAAGTCAAAGAGAAGTTAGTCAAGAAATAAGTCAAAGAGCAGTTAATCAAAGAGCAGTTAGTCAAAGAGCAGTTAGTCAAAGAGCAGTCAATCAAGAAGTAAGTCAAAGAGCAGTTAGTCAAGAAGTAAGTCAAAGAGCAGTTAATCAAGAAGTTAGTCAAAGAACAGTTAGTCAAAGAGCAGTTAGTTAAGAAGTTAGTCAAAGAGTATCCAATCTATGAGCAGTCAGTCAATAATATATAATAATATACAGTGGCGTCCGATATGTATTGCTAATAATATACAGAGAG